TTTGAGTAGTAACTGAGGGTGTATTTTCCTAGATACAGTATACAAGTCAAAGACAAGAAAGAAAGGATAAATTCAGATACAATTATTGAAATAAGATTTCTTGAATTTTAGAGGAAATTAAATATGCTTGAAATTCTAAGCACAATCAGGACACAACAATATGAAAATATACTCCTCATAATGGCCACCAATTTACAAGGACCAATAATTTAAAACATCTTTAAACTTGGCCACTAGGCACCAGCAACTAAAAGCTTATGATATGCTCTGTAAATGCTCATGCAAAACAATCCTGATTGAATGTAAGTAATCTTCAGCTGCAATAAAAAAGTAATTACAGCTTTCTGTGAATTTCAAGTAATCTATAATTGGCATTAAAAAAGTTTAGTATCAATGCAACAGTCAAGAAAACTGAAAGAATAAAGTCATCACACTCACCTTAGCCCAAAGAGCCATCTCCACAACATCTATACCAACAACTTTGGGAAGACGACCAAGTACATCTTTGCATATGTTCAAGATACATAGTAAAAGGCGGTTCCTACAAAAATATTTAAGAAAGGACATAGAAAATTCAATAACTCTAAGCAACAACACCCGACTGTAAAAAGGAAAATTAAGAAAAGAAAACAAAAGTTAATTTTGTTGGAGAACCAAAATAGAAGGACAGCAAAAGGGGAAAAAAAGAAACAATAATGTACCTGTCATCAATGTTGCGCATGGTCCACTGAGGTGGTGCAACACTCTGACTTCTGAGGTTATCAAATCCCTATAAGAAGTTCAGTTAGAAGCATTAGAAAAAACCTCATGCAGGAAGAGCATGCAAAAGAAGTTTAGAACTTTCAAGGTAGAAATAGCTTCTACTTCTGCTCAACTGCTTTTTTAAATCACATAGTTGCCAAGCAGTGTTTGCTACTGGAATTAACAAAGATCAAAGAACATACAGCTTTTCAACAGAATATTCTTATTACAATAACAAAAAGTACAAAGAACAAAAGAAAAGGCTTACCAAAGTGAAAGTACATCCACTGGGGTCATTAGTTATAACCTCCACCTTTGAAAGATGTTTCAGCTTGTAAAGCTTAGCAGGCTGCACAATTTTAGACAAATCATATGTCAATATATGATCTTAAAATTCATCCTTCAAAAATATATATATATGATCTTAAATTAATGTAACTATAATATCTACTAATTAAGAACCTCATTTTTAATCCAATAGTTCAATTACCTTTTTATTGGTTGTTAATAAATTTTGCTTTATCTTTATACTAGCAATATTCTCTTCTCAGTAATGCTAAAAGTGATTGGTATAAATGATTCAGTGTTTCACATGATGACGTAGACAAACGGCTAGTTTTATTTGGTTATTTGTTTAATCATTACTTTTATTTATAGCAAACTTCAGCAGAAAAGGGAACGTTATGATTCATATGAACAATAAACAAAGGTAGCTCCAAATTTATCGTGGCTATCTTATGACTCTTGATCCAAAACTAACGCACTGAAAAGACAATTAATCAGACACTGATAATTCAACATGGTCATGCATAAACCTGATGTATGATGAACAATAATCAACTTTATCAGCACAATGAAGCCATAGAGCCAAACAGATGTACCAACAAAGTCCTAACCAAGAAATTGATAAGACATAAAAGCTGACCCAGCTCAGCCTCAGAGACCAAAACCTATTACAGGTCAGCCAAATGCAACCTCATGATGACCACACCAAATGTCTGAGTTCAGCTTTAGTAAGCTACTATGTAGGACCAATATAACAAGTCTTACTCGATAAAGAATGATAAATTCCTTTGATAATCATCCTGCAACTTATTCTTGTTTGTCCTAACCGACATTGTCTGAAAGATTATAACAAGAGACAATTACCTCAAGAACGCCACCTGTAGAATACTTCATGACTCGCAAAAAAGCTTTAGTCCGCTGACCTTTTGATTTCACTGCACAAACCATAGGTCGTTCGTGACCTTCTATTAAAGGGAAAAGTATCCATTCAAAAGAGCATAATCTTTTAAATCTAATTCAGATTAACTTAAAAACGCATCATAATTACTAGCATCCGTCTTCGATGAAAAGAAGCTTCAAGAATCCAGCATTATTTCAAACAAGAAACCCGCAGTTGGCCAATAAGGAATCACGTACCACTCCAAATTCTAATCATATTATTTTAATTCAAAAACCTTTACAAAGCATAGCTTGATATATCTCGAATTTGAACTCTCCTACCAATTTTACATAATTTTACTATCTTCAGGGTTAGTTCAATAGTTCAAGGTTATATTTAACACCATCCTAGCATAATCAACGAAATTTGAATCCAAAAGAAGTAAAAGAAAAATACTACATCCTAAATTGAAGTAGAGAAAGCATTGTCAGATTACGGATACAAACTTCGATAACTAAGAAAAAGAAATGACGTACTGGAGAGAGCCAGGACCCTCGGTTTAGCCATGTGACGGCCCAATTTGCCAGATTTACCCCAGATCCCGCGGCTTTTAGCGACGCGAATCGACATCACGATCTTCTGCTTCGTGCCTTCGATTGCGGCCTCACAAGCTCGCCTTAGCTCCTCGTCGTCCGCGCTCGATTTCGCCATTTCGTTTTCCTTCGACTCTCTCCTTCCTTCTCCAACCGACGTGAGCTTCCCAGGTGCCCAATCTCTCCAAGAAAGAGAAAAAAAAAGAGAAGAAAGAAAAGAAAAGAAAGCTAGAGAGAGAGAGAGAGAGAGAGAGAGAGAAAGATGAATGTGAAAAATGCTCGAGTAACAGTTAACAAACACGGACCAACAAATGAAAAGTAATAATAAGCCGGCTTTTAAAATTATCGAAGAAAATTCCAAAATCGGCGATTCGGTCCGATTCGTCTGGCTAATTCCTCCCGGTTAAACCCGGTTTGAAGTCTCCTTCTTTATATTATTATATTCAAAGTACTCCAACGTGGGTCAGAGAGTCCAACTCAAGTGGGTCAGTGCCAGTCTAAAGAAGCGTTCCAACAGGCTGCAACCATTGCTGCATATCATGGCTCAACTACTAGTATCATTATCGGAGCAATTAATAACACATTAATAACTATTCATTAACAATTGCAATGCAATAGCCTATAGGTTTGGTATTGGATTACCCACATATTTAACTCTAAAATTAATTATAACTTCATGATTTTATGATCATTATGAGCTAATATGATTAAAAAAAAGATGGTCTAAAGTTTGCAATGTAAAGTGTATTAATAATGTTTTGATAATTGGGTTTGATACTTGTATTTGGAGAACCCTGCTCTTAAATTTTATTTAAATTTTGAATATTATGAATGTTACGATAATAAAAATGAATGAGTCGATCCAATAAAGATATTATACAATTAAATAAAATAAATTGTCACGGATCTCTTTGAGATGAGATGTCCTTGTCCTTCACTTGACTTTGGACATCTTCCTTTGGCTGTGTTGTCAACAAATTTGGAGCTATTATTAATGATTGGTATAAGGTATCTGTCGTACAATTATATTGCAGCCTCATGTTGGAAAAGCTTATACAATAGGACTTGGGGTTAAAATTGCAGAATGGTAAGTTGATAGCTCGGAAAAATGAAAAATGGAAAGAAGGATATCTCGAACAGATGATTCTTGGGTTTTCTTCTTTCATCCTGGAATCCTCTGAGATCGATTAGGGAATCTAAGCTGGAGCTTTACATGGTAAGTGGCATCAGCTACAGATGACTGGGAAGCATCAGTCTGCGCAAAAAGGGCAAGCCCACGTGCAAATGCGAAGGACCCTGTTCCTCCAACCACCGTCAGCTCCTCTTTGTCCTTGTGTTCAACATGCTTGGCCTGGACACTCAGGCTGCCAGAAAACTCAGGTGTCTCAAAAGTGAGATAAATGATATTGAATTCAGAGTTAGCAAAATGTTCAACCGGAATAATGAAGCCTTGGGCTTTTCCGACTACTAGGGAGGTGTTCTCAGGTCCCTCCGTGAGAGCTCGGTGAAAGATGAAGGCTCCTGTATCTGATTGGGCAACAGGTTGGATGCTGGAGCTTGAAATATGTGGCTGTTGGATGTACAAGGACAGGGCCAGCCAAGGTCCGGAGGGGTTCTTTGCCTTGTGAGCTACTGGTGAGAGCAAGGCTAAGAGAATGACTAACAGAATGGCTAAAATAACTGCTAAGCAGAATATGATTCTGGGAAGCATTTTTTGTAGAATTGGTTCAGTCTCAAATCTATTGCTTGAATCGATATGCATCTTTTGAGATCACTTTAATACAATTGGATCTTGAAACATACCTGTTCCTCAGTGCTTAATGCTTTTGGCCACCTAATCCACTTCTTCAGCTTTAAACCTAAACCCTTAGAAACCATGGAAGTTCCTGGAATTGAGTTAACTGTGGGCCTTGAGTAGGTAAAACTTGTAACTACACATGATCATTTAAGGGAGATAAAGAACTACATATATATGATCCAGAAGAATAAGTTTATAAGATTCAATTCATCCACCTTACAATCAGATCTCTTAGTACACAGATAGATACAAAATTTACTTTAGCAATGTATCTAACCAAAAGAATAATGAATTTTTCTGTATTAAAAAAATTGAAGAGGCAAAAGATGGGAAGGAGAAGAAATAACAAGGCAATTCTAAAGGCCAGTGCTACCTATAAAACATGTAAGAAGACATAACAAAATGATTAAGAGTAAAAATACAGCCTATATGCCCCCAGCATCTCCATGGCAATGGTCAAGAAGTTGAAGTGGTAGCACAGCAATAACATCAACCCATCAAAGGCTTAGCCTTGCGTATGTGGCCCATGCTATTAACAAGATCTTTGCGTGTGCAGACTGGAAACATGTTGATGTTCTTTAGCACTTTCAACCGCCAAAGAACATATGGAAAGCTCAATTGATCCCTTGAAGTGAAACGAACAACCTCATTAAACCAGAGGCACATCAACAGATTAGTCAGAGGTGTATGCTTCCTCACAATAACAGAGGCTTCATTTAGAGCTGTACAAAAGAGCAAAAAGCAAATCAAAATTTTGCACTAAAATAAGTTTAAAGGTAAATTCCAGTTATCTGGAAAGGTTCCAAGCAATTATATTCCCCTTCTTTCAGCATTTTGTTCATTTTCTCTGTATGTAACAAACAGGTCAAAATGGTCTAGTGGCTTCCTTCCCAATTACTGGCCTCTCTCACTATCAAGGTTTTTTACATGGCCAAGGTTGACCTTAAATGCCACCACATGCAGCCAGGCTGCAGAACCCTAAGCACGCATGCCAGAGCCAAATTTTATCAAACCTTCATCTGGAGCATGGATAAACAGGTACAGGCAGTAAAAGCTTTCTAACACATAAATAACAAATGGCTTATTGCTGCCTTCTAGGTCCAGCAATGCAAACCTGCAACCCTCAAAGACCAGGAGCAGTGGAATTCAGACAATTTAAACCAGAATGGACACTGAATGATGAAAAATATATTGCCTATGGTGGACAGATGAAAGTATGAAGTCATGCCAATTGTAGATCATCACTCCCCTCGACCTTTATCATAATAAAGGTTACCTGTCTTTGTGATATCTTCTTCACAACCAAGAAAGAGAAGACAGAAGAATACCTTTCTTTCCATTAAATCTCTTGTCCTCAGGAAGACCATCATGACGATACTGAGTAATTTGCACCTCAACTTCTTCTGGTGTGGCTTTGTGTTTCTTGACAACAGCCTTCGCCTCATCATAGACACTACTTCGAGCTCCATGCTCTGAAATTGCAAGCACGGAATTCCTACGCCAAAGAAGACTTCTAATACACCTAAAGGATCCCTCCTGAATTGGGATTTTGAGTCTACCCAAATTGAATACTTTGAATTAGGAAAGAGCCGATGGGGCAACATCTGATAGCCAAAAACTCGTTAGAAATCACTCTTCCATGAAAATCCTTAGCACACATGTTGGCACACAGATGCATAAGCATCAAAGCAAACAAATGTAAGAAGGGAAGAAAATGGTCAATAATCCACATATTACATGATGCTGAATGATCATACTTTCTCTAAGGCCAGTTACAAAATTTGAGGTCAAATTCAATTTTTAAGTACTGACTTCATAGATATATGAATATAATGATCTAAAATCGCCAACAAATGATAGCAGATGAACAATGCAAATACAAGAAAAAACACTAGTGGTGACAAATGAAGAAGAGGAGTTTAAACAAGTCCTGAACAAGAAGAATAAGTTGATAGCAATCTTTAGCAGTCAGAAAGACAAAATGTTAAGAGATCAAAAAGTGAATAACATCTAGTATTTGCTGGTTCACCCATACCCATCATACCTTAGGAATTTTCCCATTCAACCTTTGGTCTACGAAAGGAAGATTTTGTACAATCACAATACGCCATTTCCCAATAAAGCCGTCCTCACCAATTTTATTGCCCTGTGATTCCTGTGCCGCAAGAGTAATTTCATCCCAGAATGCAACATAGCAAACCTGCACAACAAGTTGCAGAATTCAAGTAAAAACTCAAAATGTTGAACATCTAAGCCAAAAACTTAAGTCTTCCGCATCACATATGCTCACCTTCTTATGAGATGCCTCTGACATTCCTATAGGCTGATAAAGATCATCTCCACCTCCAAATGCACAAGTAGAAACCGCAACTTTGCAAGTTTGCATATAACTTTTGTCCTTATCAGATATTTTAAAACCACCATGTTCACTAAAAAATCCACAATGTACAACAGCAGTTTCATTCACCTGGACAAACAATTTCCATACAGATATAAGCATAATCCAGAATACTAAAAAAGCAAACATTTTTCAGGTGTAACAGTAAAAATTCATCATTCTCTTCAGTGAGGCTCAAACCTTGAAGCTTGCTTCTCTCTCATCAAGAGTTTGGTTTCCAGTGAATAGATTAAATCGCGTGCCATTACCACGCTGCCAAGAG